ATATATTTCTAAAATGTCTATATATATATATATTTCTAAAATGTCAAATATTTTGGGAAAAAATTAGTTTGACAAAACGACAAATATTTGGGACCACAGAAAGCATTTTGGAATGGACAGCTCTCATTTATATTTCTCTAATTTTGGACCAATAAATTTGCTAATTATACAACTTGAATCCATGGAATTTTGAGCAGGTTGTATCAATGGGTACTTAAGTTGTGTTGAGTATGATAAAGATGCAAATGACTCAGAATATAATGGCTACAAATCTGTCATAGAATCCACAGGCCGAGAGCAAACATTGGTACGTACGTTACGTTGTAACATCTCTATTAAGTCCTATATTACGTGTACTCCAAAAATACTATAGTATCAGATCCTAAAAAATATATTATTTTTAGAAGATTTGACACATCTCTCAATATTTTTGAAAGTCTGAGTAACATAATTACGAACTAATTGCTCATGATCTACACTTTTGAACAGCTTGGATTTGCTATTTGGGAGCCACCTCATGGGCGTTATAGAATGCACAAGAATCTGTGGAGACACTTTGTCAAATTAAGCAGTGCATTGAGACATTGTGCATTTATGGTCATGGCATTGCATGGATGTATCCAATCAGAAATCCAGGTTTTAATTGAAATAATGTTTATTTTATTTTACCATGTTAGAAACAGATTATTTACTGCATTCTTTAAATTGTCAAATTAGGTTTATTATAGACCGTTATTTATTGTTATAAATCATCTTACCTTGATTGTCTAAACAAAATTTGTACACTATTAATATACGGAAGTTAAACTCTTTAACATTTTGATTTAACTTATATGTACATATAATCTAAATAACTTTTACACTATAAATATATTTTGACAAGTTATAGTAGGTTATTAACTTATATGCGCACACAATCTAAATAATTTTTATACTATCAGTATATTTTAACAAGTTATAGCAAGTTATTTACGGTATTGTTTAGGTTATCAAATTAGGATTACTTACCCGCAATGAGTGGCTTCCTACATGGGAGACCTGAAATCAATTCCCCTCACCAGCAACCTCCACACAGCCATAGCTCGTTATATCGAGCTTGTCTAGTGCGATTTACATCTTCTTTGTGGTTTGCGAGCTATTGCACAGTGTGCAGTTTACCCAGTGCGCACCCGGAGGGTGGCAACTGCGAGTTTTCTGGGAATTTTCCAATAAAAATTACTCTACTATATATAGTCAGTTACCTATTGTTGTACGTCATCTTAACCCGATAGTATAAGAGATTGTAGAGTAGAGAAATTAAACTCTCATTTTTGCAGGCACCACTAGAGAAGAGGAAGGTATTTCGTAATGAGCTAAAGAGGGTCGGTGCAAATGCTGCAAAAGTTCTACGGGAGCTAGGAACAAAGTTAGAAAAATTGGAAATGCTAGATAGTCATGAAAATATTCTAAAAGAAGTGCACGAGACAGCTCAACATCTGCAGAAAAAAATAGACCACAAATCATATCTTTTGGTCAATTCAAAGAGTTGGGAAATTGGAAAACCAAACATTAATTCTGAAGATTCTTCAAGTGAAAATGGTAGTGAAAATTTGCCATTGAGTTCTCGATCTCGATCACTAAGTGAAACAGCCATTGACATAAGTTCATTGCAAGCAAATTGGCCACAATTGGCAAAAGAATCGTCTGAATTTACAAAATCATCATTTAGAAAGCAAAACCAATGGCCCTCACGTCTCTCGCTTGCTGATGGTAGTGACATTGCCGATACATGCGAAATGGAAACTTATTTAAGTGCAAGTTCTTTGTCTTTGGCTACTTTTGCTTCACTTCTTATTGAATTTGTTGCAAGGCTTCAGAATGTGGTTGACAACTTTGAAGAATTAAGTCAAAGGGCAGAGTTTAAAGAGCCAGATGTTATCATCCCACCTAGTGCAATAAAGAGTTAGGCCTCGTTTGGTACAAGGGATAAGGGATAAATAATTTCGGGATTAAATTTGAGATGAGTTTATCCTATGTTTGGTTGGGATAGAATCGTAGTATAACGAATCCAGATATTAGTTATCCCGGGATTGTAGTGTTTTTTATCCCCATGGGAAGATGAGATAATTAATCCCGAAATAATTAATCATGGGATAACTTGTGTTCCAACCAAACCATGTTGATGTGATTTAATTCAGGTTGTGAGTTTTTTGAAGATTCAGTTTATGTAAAATGAAAAAGGTAAAAGATAGTCATTTGTTTGTTGTGTGAGGAGGAAAGGAAATAGAAAAATGAACATTTGTATATTG